GAATCGATTTACCTGGTACAATAGTTGGAAATAACTTCCTGGCATTCAAATTTAGAACCTAGGTGCTTCTAGATCCGACGAATATGCTAAATATCTATTCTACTACTTAAGATCAATATAACTGCATCCTATGTTCATATTTTTTGTCAAGACGTTTGGTCCATGCAGTACCCCAGTGGAAAGGTGAAGGATCTATGTGGTAAAGAATGAATGAGGTTCTGTAACCATAGCCCCTCTGTAGTATCACCTTGACAATTCAAGGAAAAGAATGAATGAGGAAGACACACCTCACACATTCAACCCAGATTGCACAGTAACTCCTGTTTTGAGAGACTCCACCTAAACACCATAGGAAAGTAAGTACCATGGATCCATATTCTGCAAATAATTTAATTAATGCATCTCTCAAGAATCAGCAAAACTTTCAATAAAGGGCTAAACAGAAAGTATTTCCAGGTTTTGCTGACCATCCGGTCTCTGTTGAATAGTTGCAACTTCATAATTCTGTGCGTTTAGTCAGGCTGATGGCCATATCTAAACTGGACTCCTTTAGTAGGAACCCATGGGTGAAATAAAGAGATAGTTACATTTATTATTAATTGCCAATATTTAAAAGACTACTGATTCTGGCATAAAAATATGGATTTCTGACTTCTCTGGGAAAATACAATGAATCAAAATGTAGCGCTATATTACTTAAGCATAATAATTTGTCATTGTTATACCCTTTTGATGAATTGGCTCTTTTATCATTATATAATTACCTTCTATGGTTCTTGTTACCGTTTTTACTATTTAGTCAATAGTTTAGCCCTACTGTCTTCAGTGTACAATTTGCCTGGAATAGCTTTGTCTGTGCCCCGACTCTCAGCCTAGATGAGTGTGTGTATGGAGAGCATGGCACAGGCAGCATACAGCTGGATCATAATCATTTTATATCCATTAAGCGGCTCTGTGTCTTTTCATTGGAAAAATTAATTCATTTACATTTTTGTGATTCTTAATAGCTAAGGAACTTTTAGTGCCATTTTATTAAATTTTTTTTAGTTTCTTGTGTTCTAGTTTGAATGTATCCCCCAAAATTTATGTTTTGAAAGCTTAACCCCAATGTGCCATTTTGCGAGGTAAGGCCTAAGGGCTTACTAACGCCTGAATCCCTGCGGGAAGCCTGCAGTCCTTAGTAATAATGATGTGATGGGGATAAATTCCTTTGAAAAGGATGGCTTCTACCCCTTTTTGTGACATCTGTCTCTGTACATGGGCCACATTAATTTTTTCCTTTTATAAACTATTTCTTCTGTGGTTTTCTGTTAGACAGCACAAGATGGCTCTTCTCTTCCTAAAGCTCAGAACTTTGAGAATGTTGAAAGTTTTCATAGCATTGAATAGTTGCTCATCCTCATCCTCTTTAAGTCAAGTTATGAGATCCTTGTGTGATCATTTCACACCAACAAACTTCATGTTCGCCAAAGATACTGGAATCTACTTCCTGAAGCTGGAAGCTTGTGGGCCTGGCAGTCAGCAGCCCCTGTACCCCTTCCTTCAGTTCTAGGCATTTCTCACACGCAGGTCTGAGGCATCCTATAAGGACAGCCCTTTGTAACCTGCTCCTTTTAAAAGACAATTGTTCTTATTTCTAAACATCTTTTTTTTTTTTTTGTCAGTCGTGGGGCTTGAACTCTGGGCTTGGGCTCTGTCCTTGTGCTCTTCAGCTCAAGGCAAGCACTCTACCTCTTAAGCCACAGTACCATTTCCAGTTTTCTAGTGGTTTATTGGAGATAAGAGTCTCACGGAGGGGCTGGGAAGGTGGCTCAGTGGTAGACTGCTTGCCTCCAATGCATGAGGCCCTGGGTTCGATTCCTCAGTACCACACAAACAGAAAAAGCTGGAAGTGGTGCTGTGGCTCAATTGGTAGAGCACTAGCCTTGAGCTGAAGAGCTGAGGGACAGTGCTGAGGCCCAGAGTTCAAACCTCACGACCAACCCCCAAAAAAAAAAAATTAAAAAAAAAGAGTCTCACGGACTTTCCTGCCTGGGCTGTCTTTCAACCACAATGCTCAGATCTCAGCCTCCTGAGTAGCTAGGATTACAGGCATGAGCCACCAGCGCCCAGCTTCTAAACATCTTTTTATGTCTATACAAGCTATGTAGTGGGATAAACAAGATGGGTACTTATTACCATGCCTTGCATTTTATCTGCTCTTCTTTTTCAAAGACTTAACCTCCCTCTGCTCTCCCCCCTCACAGTCTCGGGCAGACACAATCATCTGATTAAACCCTGGCCAGAAGTACCAGCTCCAGCACCTACTGAGACAGATAGACGGTGCAGGGGCCATATTACCCCAGCAACAGCAGGTGCACTGAGAAAGGAATTCAACACTACTTTGTTGAACAAAGACTTTCTACATCTTGGCGAAGTGAGAAACCTGTTAGTAATCACAGAAGCATTTCCTTCCTTGCTGTGGGTTCGTTTATTCAATCCCCAAAACTGAATGCATGTCCTAGGGAGTTGTAGAAATGTCCCATCATGCGGGTCTATGAACTAAGGAGCTAAGCATGTCTGTATTTATTCTGGACCATTCATGAAGGAATTTTGGAAGATCCGACCCACGTCACATGGACAACATGCTTTCATGCTCCGTGACCCAGCCTCACATTCTCTGTAGCTTCGGCCTCTCTGGACTCTCTCAATCGCCCTGCTGCTGCTGTTGCGTTTACTGCGGCCTGTAAACTTCGAAGAGCCACGCAGTCCAGAAACGCTGGGAGGGGGAGAGCGAGAGGATGGACTGGACAGGAGATCTGAAGGAGGAGGACAAAAGCAAGCATGTGGCTGGAGCAAGAAAGACTCCACGGGCAGTGGGGAAACTGCCTTCATAAAGAGATGGAGTCAGGAGAGCGTCCTTTAGAACCCAGGGAAATCATAGAACCACTTGCCTTCCAATTCTGCCTTTCTTTGAAGAAATGCCAAGAAACTTCCTTAAAACAACCTGCTCGTGCTGGGGGTTAGGGGGTGTGTGAGGGTGCTTGGCAAGCTGACATCTGTGGCGCCTCCTGGAGGAAGAGCCAGGTATCACCACCCCCAGACCAGAGCAGCTCTGCCCAGGACAACAGCTCAGGACACTAGGTGTAGGGCTCACAATGCCATCCCTGTGTCCTTAATAAAAATGGCCAAGAGGCTATGTCAGGCAGGGAGCTGGGATCCCTGGGGGTGGGGGGCCTGGCAGACAGTCATCCTCAAAGCTCGGTGACAACATAGTTCCAGCCGCTGTGAAACGTGAAGTTTTTCTAGTTCCTCTGCTTGTGCTCACCTGTGGCAGGCACCGCGCCCATCAGTGAGCACGGCACCGGAGCCTCCTGTCCGGTGAGTCACCGTGATGCTGGCTGTCAGCTGTTCAGACAAGTGTGGCTTCCAGGAAGCCCGGGACTGGCCGGGAGAGGACCAGATGCTGCGGCTCTGCCTCACGGTATGAATGGGTGCCTGTGCCATCGCCCTTCTGCCCTAACTCCTGCTCATGCTGACATCTGCGGTGCTTTCCACACCTGACCGGAAGCCGTGCATGCTGAGAAAGGAGTCAGTGGCGTTTCCTCTAAATAGGAAGAAGGATGGAGACGCACGGTGATGCACAAAAGCTGCTTTCAGGTTTCACAATGTTCCTTGTTTCCAACGCCCAAGCTCACCTCGGAAGAATCTGGATTTCCTTGCTAGCCATTCCTCCCTTTTGTCTGCTGTTCCTGCCTTCTTCCTTCTGCAGTATGTCTACCTGCCCCGGAAGCCAAGCTTTCTTATTTGGTCCCCCTCACCCCAACTCCAGGTTCTGCATGAACTGGGACCCAGGCCAAGACAGGTCCGCTTGCTCCTCCTCACATTCTCACAACAAAGCCAACTTCTGGATGCCAGCTCCTTTCCATCTTTCGTTTCTTCCTTCTCACCTTCTCCCTCCCTTTCTTCTTTCCAGGAATACAGACATGGAGTGAAGTGCTCTAGAAAGAACTGTGTACTGCTAGGAGCTGGTGGCTGACATCTGCAATCCTAGCAACTCAGGAAGCTGAACAGATTTGAGGATCAACATTTGAAGCCAGCCCTGGCAGAAAAACCAGATTCATATCTCCCATTAACCAGCAAAAAGGCCAAAAGTGGTGGTGTAACTCAAATGGTAGAGCCCCAGCCTTGAGCAAAAAAGCTAAGCAAGAGCTTGAGGCACTGAGTTTAAGCCCCAGTCCTGGCACCAAAACAAACCAACAAACAAAAGAAAAACCAAGAATGATTTACCCCGCAGCTCTGAGTGGCCAAGCAGATGGCTTAGAGGCCGAGCCTCCAAATCTCTGAGCTCACATAATTCTTTCTCCATTGTAAGTTAATTAACAGCATGCCTGGTCCCTGGGAGATGGTACTATTCTTGTCTGCATCTGGGCGCTCGGCTCAGCTAGTCTGAGTTTTGCATCACTCTGGCTGAGCGGTGCTAAGGTCCCTTGTAATCTTGGAGACCTCTGCCCTTCTATCCATCCATGGGATGATTGCTCCCCTGTGTGAATTCTCGGACTTACAGGACCTGCCAGCCGATGATCTCCGCTGACAGAGGTTTGTGTCTCCCTGCAGCCTGGAGGAGGCAGGGAGGATGGGAGGGACACAGGGCTAAGACTTCCAGGGGCTTCGCTTCTTTGAAAACTATATGGTCTTGCTAAACTAGACTCTTTCCAAGAAGATGATTTGTGCCCGCATGGGTGCCTGGGGGAAGCGATTCTGAAGGTAATCCTAAACGGGAAACGTTGCTGCAAGAGTCTGGCCTACGATCCCATGAGGAGGACTGGAAAGCGTTTTCCGGTTTTGTCCATGCCTGTGTCATTGATTTGTTATCACGATGTCTCTACAGAGAGTCCTTTCCAGGTGGTAGATCCCGGCTTCAGGAGGGCAGAGCTGGAGACTGTGCCCACTGGGACGTCTGTGCACACTCAGAGAGTGACAGGCGCACAGGCTGTGGCGGGAACCTCAGCGCAGATCATCTACACGGCAAATTCAGCCGCACCCCGGGACCGGCCCAGCCCACAAATCCCGCCCTGGCCCCGCGCCTCTGGATGTGGGCGCAGGCAGCTTGCTTTTATTATTCCACGGCTGCGAGCCCCAGTTCCAGACGCAAAGTTCCCCGCTCCATCCCGCCGGCGCTGCAGTGAGTCCACAGTCCCGGGCGGGCGCGGGGCTGCAGGGAGGTTCCCCAGGGAACCTGAGCGTCCTCGGCGCTTGGGGACAAAAGCCTTCGGTGGCCGCGGCGCGCCCCCTGGCGGCCGGCGTGCCCAACGGGCCAAGCGCGCGTCCTCGCGGGTTCGCGACCAGAACCGTGTCCCGGAGCCACAGCCGGACTTGGGCCCGGTGCGGCCCTGCGGCTCCACGTACAGGACGTTCCGCGCCTTCCCGAGGGGCCGAGGAAGAGCCGACCCCACTTCTTGGAGTTGTTCCAGCTCTCTGAGCCGTGACTGCCACGTTACAGAAAAAGATAAAATGCGATCCTGGACTGTGAACGGCCGCGGAGTGCGTCCCCACACCCAGAGTCCGACGAGGCTCCCCAGGACGCGTCCACCAGCCCCACTGAACACGACTCCGCTGCTCCGAAGGCGTAGGAGAGGGTGGTGCGCACCGATCCCTGCTGCGGGAAGGCGTAGGAGAGGGTGGTGCGCACCGATCCCTGCTGCGGGAAGGCGTAGGAGAGGGTGGTGCGCACCGATCCCGGCTCCCTCCACTCTGTCCCCCACCAGTGCTGGTGGGTGAAGGTGAGGGGCTGGCCTCTCTCGCCATCCGCTGCCCACTGAGGGGAAGAGGGGACGGGCTGGGCACCTGGGGATGAGGCGGGGAGGATGTACCGTGCGCCAGCTAACACGGCTCCTCGGGGTCCCTCTTGTTCCCACAGAGCCTCTCTCCCCGCAAGGCCTGGGGGCGGCTCACCCAACAGAAAGAGCAGCTGGTGCTTGACCCATCAGTCCATCAGCCCCTGGAGGAGCCGGAGTCTA